AGAAGAATAATCCTTTCGTGGCAAAGAATAATCCTTTGTAGCCGGCTTGCAAATACAGTGGTTCTAAGGGTGAACAAAGTCTGCGGACATGTGGGGGATCTTAAATATGAGACCTGATTAGCCTCAGGTGTGGAAGCTGCGCATTCCCACGCACCGTGGATTTGGGAGTGCAGTGGGAGGGGTGCTCCACTGTCATAATGGCTTCATGTAAACTCTAAACTTTTCCTATAGTCTTTAACAAACAAGATAATTCAGAAACATTACTGTAGTATTCAATAACAAAGTGGAAAGGGTTTATTTGCTTTCTTTTTCATTTTTTTTAATGAGTGAAGATGGAATAGGTTTATGTACTCTTGAACTTTTAAATGTAGTGTAAATATTTTGAACTTCATAGGAAAGCTGAGGTAGGGTAGACTTTGTGGTACCATTTGGTACCACAAGGTACCATTTGTGTGTTAGCTCCGCAGTGTAGCGCCTCACAGAATTGGTGTTTCCCCTGCAAGCCTGCATGTACCCAGCAGTTGCTGTTTGCCTTAAAGCACCTTCTCTGTTGGTGCTGTGTCTGTTGTCTTCCACTGATCATGATTGACTATTGACATGACCCAAGTTTGAGCTTCTGGCCTTTAGTCCATAGAGTAAGTGCATTTACTGTTTAAACAACAGGAGCCTGAGCAAAAAATCATGCCACACAGCTTTTCAAATTTAATCCATAAGTATCCTCTGACTTTCTCCTGAACTAGTTATTCATGTAAGTAAAATAATTTGACAGCTAAAAGCAGTAATACACTTAAGCCTGCAAAATCCTTATGGACTGTGGCCCTTTGAGGACTGGATTTGAAGACCAGGGCATTCATTCATCACATTCATCCTGCCTGAAACTTCTCCTGTTCTTATTGACAATAGTCCTGCTACAGTATTTATTTTTGTTCATGACAGCTTACTCCAGCCCCCCAGCTCCTCCAAAAGTGATCAGTGCTACCTCCAAGTGCATCACTGTGTCCTGGGTACCCCCTCACAATACGGGGGGGAGTCGTATCACTGGCTACATCCTGGAGAAACGGAAGAAGGGAAGTAACATCTGGAGCCCTGTGTCAGACATGCCGATTACTGGTAGGATACCTTTTGTTTCTTGTCAATTCTTTGGACTCAGAATAAAGAAATTTAATAGAAAGTGTAACTTAATATGAGGATTTTTTTCTATGTGTTCTTTAACACAGGAGTCTCAAGTAAACTGAAATATCAAATTCCTACAGTAGGTTACTTTCAGTTTTAGCTAAATGTATCTCTTCTTGTAAATTAGATAATACATTTTGTTTGAATCATTCACCCAGTTGGGTTTTCACAGCAGGGAATTAACCAGCTTCAGAATATTACATTAGTATGTGTTAATTCTCATTAATCAGTTAATCAAGAGATTAAAACTGCATATCTCCCATAGATCTCCCACAGTGTCATAATCTCTCAATAATAATATATGCTATTGCATGTGACTTTATGTTTAATAGCTTCTGTTTCACCTAATTTTTTTTCCAGAGAAAAAATTTACAGTGAGGGACATTGTTGAGGGGCAGCAGTATGAATTCCGGGTGGCTGCAGTCAATGCATCCGGGATAGGAGAGCCCAGTGTTCCATCAGATTTTATATTTGCACGAGATCCCATGAGTAAGTAACACTGACAACAGACAGAGGGATACAGTGCAAATAATGACCACAGATACTCTCTTCAACAGGATGCCAATACCAGTGCTTCTTTAAAGAAACGTCTGGATGAGATACTGGGATTGTTATATTTACCCCTGCTGGTGTGCTGTGGAATGCTGGTGTGCTGTGGTAGCCAGACACTCCTACATTGACTTGTCTTTCAAGCTTCTGTTACCATGGTTACTAATTTAACATTATCTCCCATGCCCGCATCAGGTGGATCAAGCTACATAAGATGTGAGTTTGTTGCACTTCCAGCTTTGCCCTGACTTCTTATTTCTCACTGTGTGTTTCCTGGATTCTAGGCCATCGTTTCATCCTAATGACATTCATTGGATTCTCCTCTCGTGCTTTTGTACTGTGTCTGTTAGTTTACTGATGCTGCTTGCTTCCTTCGGCTCTGAGTTTGGATTTATTTTTGTGCTGTGCTTACCCGTCTTGAGTTGGATTACGCCCTGATTTGTGTTTGCCTGTACCACGATTGCCTGTGCTCACCTTTCTGCTCCAGTCCAGTCCATTGTAAACACAGTGCTACCAGCTCACACTGCTTGCCTGTTAGCTAGTGTTTCTCTTCCTGCTCTTTGATTTATCTCACACAAACATGCCCCTGCTTATACTACTGTTCCTGCAGCAGCTGCATATGACAGACTAATTGTCACGGACGTCCAAAGGGACTGACCGTGGGGAACAGGAGAGCGGAAAAAGACCCACAAGCGTACAACGAGACGGGAAAGATTAGTGGTTCATTAGTGCAAAGAGTTCAGGAATGCCGTATAGAAACCTTTGCCCTCAGAGATAGGCGGGTCTCAGGACATCCGAACGTCAATGCTGAGCGAAGACAGAGTGCAAGACCCGGAAATATATAGCCCAAGGGAAAGAGAGGGACAGGAAGGACAGCAGACCGGAAAATAGGGACAGGACAGAGAAGGAGCGCCCTCCTGCTGCAGAGGGCGTGACACTAATTCCTACAGTAACTACCAAATGGGCTACATTTGCAAAATCCCCCCCCCCCCCCAAGATCTCCCTTGTTTGTACATTTTCTGAGGTTCTTGTCTTCTTATGATAATAAAAATAAAAATAAAAGGAGGGACTTTACTCCCTTTAAATAAAATAAACATTATCCCAAAGTAAACATTAACCTCCAGTTACTGAAATAAAAAATATATTATTCATGTTTTTATTTACAGAACTTTATATATTCTTCCATTCATATTTCCTGAAAACCTTTCTGCAATGCTCATCAACATACTGTAATATCCCAACTTAAAACAGCTGCAACTCCATGGGAGTGTCTCTAGACCTCTCGATTAGTTTCCACAGAGAATTACCTGTTTGTACATTTCCTTTTTTGCTGTACAAAAGTTGCTTGCATAGTATTACAAGTGAAGCTTATATAGACAAACAATTTATCCTGAGAAAGGAAATAATTTTCTAGGTGTTTAGCTATATGTATTCCCTGGACCAGGTCTTGGGGCTAATTGCTTAGTGTTTCCTTATCCTGTTGAATGTCTAAATCTGAACTATTGACTAGGATGCTGAAAAAAGCTCAGATTCTAACTCTCACGGTGTGGAATTTCAGAGCCACCTGGCAAAGTTAAAGACCTGAAGGTGACAGACTCTACGTATAACTCTTTGTCCCTCTCCTGGGCTAAACCCAGCGAGGATGATGGAGATGTGGCCAAAGGGTACTACGTGGAGGTGAAGCCAGCTGATGGCCAAGCTTGGGAACGTTGCCATACAGCCCCGCTCAGCATGAGCTCCTACACGATTAAGGGCCTTAAATCCATGGCCATGTACTTTGTAAGGGTGGTCGCCAGCAACAACGGGGGTGACGGGGAACCACAAGAGCTGGACAACTACGTCCTCGCCATGCCCCCTCCAGGTGAGCACTGGTAGTCTTTGGAGGTTTCCTCACAAACTTGTTACAGTATGTCTCTTTTCGCTTACAATCTTAGCAGCTGCTCCTTACAAAGAGGCCACAATCTAAAAAAATTGTGAAAAGAAGTAAAGGAGTCTCTCTGTGAAATATTGAATTACAGTTAAATCATGGCATGTTTTAATAAAGTTTGAATAAAATACTGTATGTAAGTACTGATTATTTTTCTTGGCACTACTTAGAAAGATCTTTTTAACCTATACATTCCTCTTTGCTTTTTTTGTAGTGAGGCCTCATTTCCTCATTGATTCCAAATTTAAGAGTTTTATTGTAGTGAAAGCTGGAAACACAGTCCGAGTCAACATGAACTTTGAGGTGAGGAGTCCCACCACACAGGAAATTTATTATCTCCCCACTCTGCAGTGTCTGTCTTGACAATACCATAGTATTTGATTATTTGAATTGACACACACAAATGCACCAAAATTGGGAAAGTAAATTCAATGAACTACTAAGAATAAAACAGAAGAAACAGCATTTACATGGTGCCAAAGAATAGAATATACTGTACAATTTTATATTAATTGTATAATATACAATTGTAAATAATTTTAATAATAAACCACTCTATAAGTAAACCATGTAAAAATAATTGCAAAAGTGTATATATGTGAATCAAATGGCAGCCATAAACAAAAAATGTTTTAAAAAAAGATCTCTCAGGGATTCAAAATGATTCTACAAATTATATGCAGTTAAAATTTGTTGACAATATAAGTTAAGTTTATAAGTTATATAGTTTTACATATAGTTTCAATTTGTCCATTTTAAAAGTATAGCTCTCAGAAGCATTAACATTCTGAACTGATTTCTATAAGGCGTTCAGTATAATAATTTCTACTGAACGCCTTGTTATCCACAAACTCTTCACAATACTAGATAATACCCTGAATTGCTCTCTCAGGAGATGATAAAAGTCATAGGTCTACAATGTCATATTCCATGCTTACAAAACACATAAAAAACAATTTTTATTTAATGCCTTAATTGTTCCATAATCTTGTTTCAATTTGCATCGGACCCTATAAATATTTAAATAATACTGCTGTTAATACCATCAACATTCAACATTTCGGCATATTTATTATAAAACATTCATACCATACTTTTCACCACTGTCATGAAAGCCTGCTCTCTTAACATTGTTTAGTAAGTGCTAACTTCTGCCTCTGACAGCCATAGCAAAGTGCTCTGCTTACTGAAATCACACATACAGTATAGTATGCGATGCATAATATCTTATACTGTATGTGTTGACCATGATAATCTATCTGTATTCCACAGGCTTCTCCTATACCAGAGATTGTCTGGCTGAAGGATGGCATTCCTGTGTCCAAACGGGCCACTATTACCAACTCTGATGGGGTGTCCCAGCTACTCATCCCCTCCTCTGAACGCTCTGACTCAGGAATCTACACCATAAATGTCAAGAACTGCATTGGTCAGGAATCATTCAGTGTCGAGATCAGAGTCACAGGTAATCATGGCTCAAAATCGCAGTGGGCAACACTATTTTAGGTGCAAGCCTCATGCAATTCATCAAAAATAAACATTTTATACTAATAATATCTTCATAGGAGTGAAAAATTGAAGTTTTCTGCCTTCATGGCTTCAACAATAGGTACATATGAAGGTTGTTATTCCAAATACCTCTAAATAAATATCCACAGATACTTCTAACAATGAAAATGTGCCAAGTTGGATAACTACATGGATTTTGTTTAATACTGGCTTCAATTGATGTTTTGTTTCTTACTGTTATGTCAGGAGATGAGAATAGTCAGTCATTAAATAATAAAAGTATAATAAAATTTTAATTCCAAAGGTCAGAAATACCAAATTAAGTCACAAGGTATCTTTTACTTTTCTATTTATTGATAAATAAACAACAGTTTTTAACACAAGAATGCATTAAACAAAATAAAAACCATAAATATGACATGGACGTTTGATGTACATGAACTCAAACATTAAATCAATACTTCAAACACTCATTAACTAAAATCTAAAAGTTTACACTGTATACACTACATGAATCTATACCTGGAAAAATATAAAACATTTATCATAATTTACACCATAGACCAAGGGTCTCCAGCCCTGGACCTGGAGAGCTCTAATCCAGCAGATATTACAGGTCAAATTTTGAAGGAACTATCTTACTGTGATCAGTTATCAATTAAGTAATGCTAACTATCATCAATGTTCTAAAGGAAGTTCCCAATCTTTAGAAGTAAGCAACCTACAGTATAAGACTAAGAGGCCTGGGGCTCTTGTTCTGGGGTGATGCTAAAAGAAGATATTTGCTGCACAAGTTCCAGGCTAAAAGGTGTCCAGCCTTTTGGACATTTCCTTTAAATTAGGGGCTACTTCTGATAAGTTTGAAGTGTGAAAGCTTATCAAAAGATCTCATTCCAATCTAATCTCATTCCAATCTCATTCCAAGTTGCAAAAATGTGCACTTGAAAATAATCAATGTAGTCATTTTAAAAATGTAAATTGTGAGATACCCAACATGGTGGCACTGTGGCTAAGGATCTGTGCCTGTGGCTGGAAGGCTGCTGGTTCAAATCCCACAGTTGGCAGAGGAAGTCTACTCTGTTAAGCCCCTGAGTAAGGCCCTTAACCCAAATGGCTCCAGGGGTGCTGTACAATGGCTGACCCTAAGCTTCTCTCTGTGTCTGCGTATCATGGAAAGCAAGCTGAGGTAAGCAAAAAAAAAAGGAATTCCTAATGCAAGAAATTGTATGGGGCTAATAAAGTGATCTTGTCTTATGTAGAAATATTCAAGCTGAGATTTCACAAACATTAGGACTCTTATAGCAGCCTCAGAAACCTTCACCCATATCTGCAGTACTCAGCAAAACATTGCTTGAATCTTAAAAAACACTAGTGAACTTGAAAAGAACAGTCAAGAGCAACCTCCCTAAAGCATCTTATATGAGAAACTGAATTCTAAAAATATTAGGAACTTAAAAACCTCTTTTTTTGCATTTTTTAGCTAAAATAGTTTGTTATAAGTGATATAAGACAAAAAGGGAAATTAATTGAAAAATAAAAAACAACTCAAAGCTGTAACTGACAAAGGGGCTTCCACAATTTGTGCTTCGATACAATTTCTCCACTGTCACTATTAAATCATAATTACTATTCCAAAACTCTCTTAAATTAATAAATTATGAATGTATCTTCCCCACTCCTACTTTGTCTCTTTGTATCTATATAGATTTTTACACAGAGTAAACAGTAATTGTGCTGAGAAGGAAAGGTGACTTTTGAAAGTCACCGCATTTTATGTCATGAAAATGTTTCTCATTCCTGGATCTCAGACGAGCCCAAGCCACCAGGACCAGTGCAGCTGGAGGAGAATGTGTCTGGAACAGTGACGGTGTCCTGGGAACCTTCACCGGATGAAAAACGGGACAACAGGCTACACTACATGGTGATGACACGAGATTCCAGCAAGCTGTCCTGGCATACAGTAGCAGATGACATCTTCAACAACAAGTTCACTGCTATCAACATTGTCGCTGGCCGCTCATACTACTTCCGGGTGTATGCCAAGAACGACATGGGCCTCAGTGCGCCCTCTGAATCTTCAGCCTGGGAGATAGGCAAAAAGAAAGGTTAGCAAAACCAAAAAACAGGAACCTTTTGAGAAGAGAAGCCCATAAGCATTTAGCATCTCATAATGAGCACAGAATTAAAGGTGTTTATTTTTAAAATAATATACCAACAAATTATGTTTTTCATGATATATAATGTGGGTACACTGAAAAAAAGGTCTGAAAATTAATTTGCTAAAGTTTTGTTATATTGTGGTTCATTTACTTCAGTGCTTGGACTAAACTCATCTTCACAGCACTAATTTACTTAAAATAATTAAGCAAAAACCAAGTAGAGATACTTGAGAGTTTACCTTTTCTTTTTGACCATTTGCTGGAACTAAAAACTCTATGAAATGACCCAAGAGCAATTATCATTCTGAATGTTCTGAGATAAACAATGAAAACCCTATGATTGGGAAAACCAACAAAATAGCACTGTACATTATTTTAATTTTAGAACATAAAATGTTTTTATCATCTAGTTCTGCAGGTAGACCTGACAAATTTAAACATAATACTTATAAAAATACAGTACTAAACACAGCCCATCAATCAACTGTTAGCCATTCTAAATAAACACAACACTAATCTCTTTGACTACCTTGATTACCTAATCCAGCAAAAAAGATAGGAGGTTACTTTAAAAAAAAACAGTAAAAGATTTCTAAGGAGATCTTTCTTATGGGTTCTTAAGAGAACATACTCTCTCTTTTTTCAGATAAGCTCACAGTAAATGTGCCCAGGTATAAGGAAAAAGACCACAGACAAGCACCGTATTTCATCGTTCCTTTAAAGACGCATTTTGTTCCCCGTGGATATGAGTGTCACATGAGCTGCGCCGTGAGGGGAACCCCTAAGCCACATGTCACCTGGTATCACAACAACATCAGCCTCAACCACAATGCCCACTACCTGGTGTCCAACGTGCATGGCGTCTGGTCATTGTTCATCATAGGAGTCAGCCCCAGAGACAGCGGGGACTACACTGTCGTCGCAGAGAACAGCCTGGGAAGGGCAGAGTGCTCCACCAGACTCACAGTCAGAGGTACAGGCCTCTGGTGACTAGAATTAATATCATTAAGAAATGAGCATAAGAGTCTTGAAACAGAAATTGTTCAAGTAAATTACAGTCAAAACATGTTTTATGAAGGTTGGTAGAACAGAAACTAAACTAGCATTTGATTGATAGATAAAGCAATCAGCAGAGAGCAGAGTGACCGACAGTGTGGAATCCCAGAGAGTGAATGCTGCTGCTATGCTTTTGAATAACAATTCCAAGTTGTCTTACCAAAAAATATTCCCATTAGAACAGCTTCATTGATTGGTACTGGTTTTTCAGCAATCAGGTGTAAAATAACTTGTATGACCTTTACTTTATGTCTCTTGTAAGGGAAAAAACAAGGGGGTTAAAAACGTTTTGGCAGAGTAACAAAAAGTGGGGAAGAGGGCTTAAACCAATTTTCCTAGGGTAACAACATGTTTCTTTTACCATTGGAGCTCTTAGCCTGCATATCAAATACTGGCTGATTTCTGCTGTTTTTTCATTATTAATCCTGATCCTGCTAAAAAGATCATATTTGTTACAAAATGAATAATTACAAACTGGCTTTTGTTAGATTTATATAAAACAGCAATTAACATTTATGAGCATCCAAAAATAAAAACAATACTGGCTAGTACATGTTCTAAAATTCAGGAATTTAAACATTTTTGATCAAGAATCACAGAATCTGTAATCCTGTGTTACCTTTTCTTTGACAAATTGATAGAACCCAAGTAAAGGTCTTACAGTAAAATTATTTGCTGTCTTTCTCCTAAACTGTCATTCTTTCCTTTCTTTTGCAGAATAAAGTGGAAAGGAAAGCAAGCAGATGTCACAGACTGCCTCTGTTATTTTCCAATCTATCATTTCCTGGAATTCCTCTCAAATTTTGTTTAAGTTTTGTGTAAAAATTCTTAAGTATAATTTGTATGAGCAAAAGCAATAACTTCTGCTACAGGCTAAAGAATGGATTTTATTTTCCCAGTAGTGCATGTACAGTACCTAGTGGATGTCAGGAAATCAGTAGACTCCCGGCCTGCAGTGCATGAGATGTGCAGTGTGTGTGATTGAGTCAGTTTGTTAGGGTATTCAAAGTCAGCTGATGATTCCAAGACATTATTTTCTGCTAGGACCTTATTCGAATGTCTCCAGCTTTTCTGCAGCTTCCAACATTAGATACAAAAACACAATAAAAAAAATGTAAATCTAAAAATATTTTCACAAATTTGATTAGCATACAGTATCATAGGGTAGAGTGGTGGTACTGTGGCTAAGGATCTGTGCCTGTGGCTGGAAGGTTGCTGGTTCAAATCCCATGACTGGTAGAGGAATCCTACTCTGTTGGGTCCCGAGCAAGGCCCTTAACCCCCATTGCTTCAGGGGCACTGTACAATGGCTGACCCTGCACTCTAAAACTTAGGCTTCTCTCTCCCTGTCTGTGTGTCTCATGGAGAGCAAGCTGGGGTATGCAAAAATACAAATTCCTAATGCAAGAAATTGTATAGGGCTAATAAAATGATCTTATCTTATAGGCAGTGACGAAAACTTTTGTCAGCCTCCTAATTTGGTCCACATTTTCATATATTTTAGACATCAAACACAATTAAATCTTCATGAAAGTCTTAACAAAATATGAAGATAACCTGATGGAATCTATAATACAAATATATAAGATATATCTGGATTTGGATTAACAAAATAATTCAAAAACCAAATAAGCTTTTGTAAAAATATGAACTCTGAGATTCAGTAACTAGTGGTAACTCGTTGTAATTCTTGTAATTGTTAATTTGTATATTACATCGACTTTAGTTTAATTTCAGACTTTGGCCATCCCAAAATGTGAAATCTCTTTTTCTATAGCCATTCTATTGTAGATCTGCTTCTACTGTATGTTAAGGATCATTGTCTTGGTGCATGACCCACTTTCTGCTAGCTTCAGAACAGCATTTCTCGGATTTCTCCTATTTCTCCTATACAATGCCTTTCTGTCATTCTGTCAATGATGGTGAACGGTCAAGGTCCTGAGGCAGTCCCAAACCATCATTCTCCACCAGCATGTTTGATGGTCAGGAAGGGTTCTTCTGCTGGAAGGCAGTGTTTGATTTTCACCACATGAAATGTTTCTTATTCTTGCCAAAACGAATGACTTTGGCTTGTCTATCCAAAGACTATTTTGCAGAATGTTGTGAAATGTCCAGGTGGCACCCTGAGGAACCTAAGGAACATTTTCTTTGCACCATACATTATCTACACATTTGGCAAACACAAAATCTCCATTGCTTATTAAAATTGTAATGATTTTCAATCTTCCGTCCATCCATTTGGTATCCGCTTTATCCAATACAGGGTTCTGGCAATTAACGAGCACAAGGCAAAATACATCCTGGATGGAACGCCAGTCCATCACAGGGCACGCAAAAACACACATAGTGACACCAGGGCCAATTTTCCAAGAAGCCACTAAACCTACAAGCATGTCTTTTGACTATGGGAGAAAAACAGAGCAAATGGAGAAAACCCGCACGAGCACATTGAGAACATACAAACTCCACAAAGATAGAACTCCAGGAATTGGATCCAGGCCCCCAGCGCTACAAGGAAGCAATGCTGACCACTGTGTCGCCATGCCACCCCAATTATCTTTTAAGTCTAAAATATACTGTACAAGAATACAATTCAACCTAGGAAGTTGACATAAATTTACTTAGTATTGTAGATCTCAGAGTTCCTGGCTGGAAATAAAATGAGCTCTACATAAATTGTGAAGCAATGAGTAATTTCAGTCGTTCCAAGACACATTATATGTAGGGTTTCCAGATTTTTTAACATCTCAAAAGCAGATAATAAATATCATAATTTGATGGAGAATACAATTACAATTACTTTTTCTGTTCTTTTAAATGGTATGCCTATGCAGTTGAAAGTATACTCATTATAAATATTAATGCATTTAAATCTGCAGATGAATTTGTATTTGTTTAGTTTACCCTGCATGATACTTATGCTATCTCAGCTTTCACTATACATTCATTGTTTTCTGAGATAAAAAAACAGCTTGTGGTGTTTGGACTAGCTGGGTTGGGAACTGATTTTCGTTCTTGTGTTATCCTGACTTCCTGCAGTCAGGCAGACTATCTTTTATTAACTCCACTAATTGTGTTCTATGTAATCGCATTTATGTTACATCTTAATACAGTTACTAACCAATCTTATTTCTAACTTTAAATGCTGATTTATTTCATTTCTGATTGTTGTTCAAATAGTTTTGCATATCCTCTAGGCCGGAAAACTTGTGTTCTGAACCAAGGAGAATATGAAGTTTTATCTCTGGTACCTGAAGTTTTGAAGATTTAGCAAACGTTTTATTTTTTATTTCCAAGGGCAGAGCACACTATGAAAATGAATCACATGGGATGGTGACTTTTAAAACCAAAGCAGGAACTTTATTTGACATAATCTTTAATAAATTACAATCTCTAACAAATTATATGAGTGCAGCAAAACTACGCTGACACAAAAGAGAATGCATTTTTAATCATGTGTTTTTTTATATTATGATACATTTTGACATGAAAAGAAATAACATGTGAGCAAAATTTGGATACTTTTCAGAGGTGTCCCAAAATATGTAACTACTATATTAATGAGCATAAGTGCCTGAGATAAACCAGAGAACTGCGACAGGCTTCAGTGGCCAAATTTATATTCTGAATGCATTATAAAGACAAAAATGTTTTGTTACTTTGTTATGTTTGTATGAACAAGAAATGTGATGCTATTTATTCTGTTATGAAATTTTAATAAAATCTAAAAGGATAGCCAACGATTCCAGTGCATCATTTTAGAAGAATAAGTGCACTTGAATAATAAAATAAATATAATATAATATATATTATAATAATATAATACATAGTACAGTATACTGTATAAGCAAAGTACTGTATATAACATGACCAAAACTAAAAAATATTTTGGAAACATTATAGTCTTTTTTTGTTGACTGTCTTTCACAGGCCTGACTTTGATTAAGTCTGTGCAGTGAATGCTGTTCAAGATTTTACACCACAAACTCTGTAAATGAAATTAAGACCTTCAATGACAAATTCCAGTTAAAATAATTTAATAGGTCAGGCTTTAGTTTTTTATAATCTGAATTAGCTTTCAATGTACCTGAAAGTGTATTTTAGTTTCTTAGTATTTGTTAGTTTCTTAGTATCACTGTCTGCTGATTCACTCAAAGGCCGCTAGGTGTCACATTGCCCCCCATCTAAGACCAGATGTCCCTGTCGGCCCCAAACAGTCTCACAAAGCTATACTCAATCCTAAGTGGCTTGGGGGCCTTCAGGTGCATGTCAGATGCTCAAGTGGGACCTCAGCAGCCACAGAGGGTCCATTTGTTGGAAGGTTCTGTGTGGGACTGCTCAGGGCAGCCTCCTCTGGCCTGTCTGGGTCCTAGCCACTGGCTGGTATTGAGTCCCCGTGCTTTCTATGGGGGGCCAGTCAGGGCACCACCACCCAGTGAAGGTGCCTGATCCTCACCCGGTAAACCAAATCTGACAGTTGACCAAGCACAGTGCAGGGGTATTGCCAGGATGCAGAGAGTTTTGGGGACTGCACCTTCTTCCATTGTGGGTTATAGACTCACACCTATTCCCCAGCAGCAAAGGCCTATCGACCTGATGGACATCTTACAGCCTCTTCTACCTGACTCTTGCCTTAGAGAGCTCTCCCCAGGCAAACGCATGTGCGCTGATAATGCCTTCCTGGTGGCAGATTGTTCCAGCAGAATCGGAATCAGAATTCTTACATACGGGCTTTCCCCAGGCCAACGCTTTGCTGAAACAAGGTTCCAGTCCCTATACAGACAACACTGGCAGTAATTTGATTGTCTCTGAGGGTGCGCAAAAACAGCCAGAGAAGCAGTGTTGTGAGCTGTGCAGTGTTTTTTTTATCCAGAACAAAGATGGGCGATGATTGGTTGAGAGTTTGGTGGGCATTTGAGACCCATGTGGGGTTACCACGCCCTGCAGGTTCCCGATCAGTTGATCAAGGTGAGAGTTGAGTAACAATGACCTCTGGCATCTAGGACTGCAATCCAGATGTTCCCAAGAATCTCATAGACAGA